AGCTTCAATAGCACAGACTACTACATCCCAAGGACTTGGGGGTGTATGGAACCAAGTCCTTAACTGGGATTGTATCAACCACCGTCGGGGGAAACAGGGGTATTAGAGACAATTACAGGAAGACCAGGAGAATGCTGCCCCACTGTCAATATTGAAGAAAGATGCATCTGGCATCAGTCAATTTTGCTCACACAGGATAGGGAGGCTTCCACCTTGTTCTTTGCTTCAGATCAGCAAAATATCTTTGGTTGGCCCCACCTAGGCTGGTGAGGGACACACATGCCAATGAGAGAGATACAATCCTGCCAAAGCTCTAGAAGAGAAGGAGCCATATTCGCAGCTTCTTAAAAGCCTCTCTTGACCCCCTTTGGTGTGTTATCTTGGTGGAGGTTCAGCTACAGCAGTGGCATCGCATAAAGAGACTATGGGAAGCAGCCGTGCTCACAGAGCTCCATAATTATGTTGTGCTCTTGAATGCTTTTTCCTATCATACAGAACAGGCCACCACTGTTTTGACCCCTTTGCACATGGTTCCTTTGTTTGCATGCCATTTTTCAAAGGCTAAGTATAAACTGCGGAAAGCCACTATCTTCTCGCCTTTGTGGTGTTTGGAAATGAACTTAAATGAGGTTCACCCATCACTGGTTAAACATTTCAGACATTTAAATGATCCTTTCTAATTCTGGTGCTCTCTTCAGCCAAAGCATCTATCCACGCTGGCAGGTATAATGATGATTCCAGTCTGCACACGGAACAGTTATTTATCATATTCCCCCATATCTCTCCCCCACCTTCTTATGCAAATGACTCTGGCTCCCTCTCCAAAGGGAGAAAAGTTATAAATAAAATGCAAGAGGCTATTTTGGGAATAAGAAAACTTCTTGTTCCTTTGTATAAATATCTATGATCTCCTCCCATTTATCTCAGTTTATCTAATCTACAACAAATTCCCAAGCTGTGGCTGGGCCTCTTCATTCAGCTTCTACCAGGGATATATGAACACAGTGCGCATGCTCTCATTGTGCTCTCTTGTGGGAGTCACTAGCCCTAGACAGAGGGCTACAGCATTTTATGGGGCATTCAAAAAATAGCTTCTGTCTGACATTGTGGCTTGCAGTGGATCAGTGCAGGTCAGCAGGGTTTCAGTCATATAAATCCTAATTTGGACACACAAATACAGTGTTATAGCAAGCCCCTTTCTGAATTTAATGTTGTATCTGAGTTAAGAAGTACATGTTTTGAACAGAGAAGAAGCTAGATGTAATCCCTAGCATGGGATTACCATGTAAAGCCTGGTGAAAAGGTCTTCCTGAATCTCTCTGCAAGGCCTGCGTTACTCAGGGACAACACTACTAGAAATGAACCACCCATCACCACGTATGCATGCTAGTGATACCCAGCATGAAATGATACACCCAGTATGTCCATACGTTCATATGCACATGCTAGAAAGAAGTCTATGCATATTCCAATCTGTGTGTATAAAACTTCATGGTGTGAAGGACAATTCACACAATAGGGCTTCCAAGGGCCTTCAAACGTTTTTGCAGAATTAAGAAACAAGTCAGAACTGGAGGAAAAAACAGGTGAGAGGACTGGGGCATAAACTTGAGGTAAGGACCAAAGAATAAATATGGATACCTAGCCACAGCATAGTTCAGGAAGACTTGTTGGTCGAAACAGCCTCAGATCCACCAGAAAGCCCTCTTCTATTCTTTCCTGTCCAGAAGAATCCAATAGCATCTTTTTGTGTTTGACATTCCAGAACCTGAAGGCATTTAATGGAGAAGCTGCAAATGCCTTAACAATTTTTACATGTGCGGCAGCTGCACACAGGTCTAGCGGCCCTTAGTGACGGCATGAATAGAACTTCACAAAATATTGGTAGTCTGAAGTGAAATACACGGTGTAGATGCCTCAGATCTGGGAAAGTTACATCTGTAAAAGAGCCAGAGTTATTCTGGCCATGTTAGTCTCCTACAACGAAACCAGGAAAGAATCTTTTGCTACAACAAAGATGTTTTATTTGGCATAAGCATCATTAGATTGAAGCCCAAATGTCTAGATGATTCAAATAAAATCATTGTGATTGTTGTTACAGGTTTATTTTTTTTAAAAAAAGTAATTCATTGTTCCTATATGCTGGAAAATTGCTTTTTGTTACTTTTTAAATTATGTTTAAGGAAAAAAAATGTAATATTGATAACAGTGACATAGAACTTAAACATTCCTATATGCTGGAAAATTGCTTTTTGTTACCTTTTAAATTATGTTTAAGGAAAAAATGTAATATTGATAACAGTGATCCTTTAAAAGTTACTCAGAAAGTGCTAGAAATAGTTACTTGTTACTCTATGCAATGTCATCATGGATCAAATAGATCAATATGTGTAAATTTACACGTATTGATCTACTTTTTTAAAAAGCCTTTAAAAGTTACTCAGAAAGTGCTAGAAATAGTTACTTGTTACTCTATGCAATGTCATCATGGATCAAATAGATCAATATGTGTAAATTTACACGTATTGATCTACTTTTTTAAAAAGTAGATCAATTCCTTTAAAAGTTACTCAGAAAGTGCTAGACATAGTTACTTGTTACTCTATGCAGTGTCATCATGGATCAAATAGATCAATACGTGTAAAGTCATTACTGTACTTGTAAATTGTTACTTGGGAGCTGCACCAGAAAGGGACTGACAAACACTCAAGAATGATAGCCATGGTCAAGGTGACCTCTGCAATACTGACTTTCAGCTAGGGAGTATCATCCTGGGCCTTGAAGGAGAAGCTACAAACCCACCTCCTTTCCTCAATGCTGATAACACCAGATAAAGAGAATGGAAACTCGCATGCCAGCTTTCACTGTGTGCTTGTAGCTGAGTGCCTAAGCAGCAAGTTCAGAAGGTTGATAGTGAAGAAATGTCAACACAGTGCTTTAAAGAACACAACCCTTGGGACTGTTGCTTTAAATACTCTCAAGAGCTGCTCCCATGAGCTGCTTTTCCCAGGCTTTGTCCCAATTGTCTAAAAATTCTTTTCTGCTTCTCTTTTGAGAGCTTTCACTGTGTGCTTGTAGCTGAGTGCCTAAGCAGCAAGTTCAGAAGGTTGATAGTGAAGAAATGTCAACACAGTGCTTTAAAGAACACAACCCTTGGGACTGTTGCTTTAAATACTCTCAAGAGCTGCTCCCATGAGCTGCTTTTCCCAGGCTTTGTCCCAATTGTCTAAAAATTCTTTTCTGCTTCTCTTTTGAGTGTGTGTGTGTCTGCTTTCTGTGTGTACTCTCTCTCTCTCTCTCTCTCTCTCTCTCTCTCTCTCTCTGTGTGTGTGTGTGTGTGTGTGTGTGTGTGTGTGTGTATGTGATGCAGTACCAGAAGCACAAACAAACCAGAAGGCTGGAGAGCATCAAGATTCATTAATAATTATTATGTGCTGTCACATAACTCTGACACCTGGCAATCCTTGCCAAGGTTTCCTAGATCCAAACTGCTCAGGTGTGGTTTACCATTCCCATCTTTTAGAGATGCCATTGGACTTTGTAGCTTGCCCAAGCCTAAACAGGCTGGCTTTTCTCCTGGAAGGCACAGTGGGGAATTAAATTTCTGACCTGTTTCCACACTCAAATACTCATCTTGTGAAGCAATTGCTAGAGTGAGGTCACAATCTTCTTAGGGGGAGAAGGAGGGAAGGCCTGATCATTTGGCAGCCTGAGGCAGCTATCATAAGCAATATTTTTGGTTCCACAAAACACAGCAGCAAATTGTTAGGCATATTTTCAATGTGAAACAGGTGAGAAAGGCTTGTATGACTTGGTTTCAAAGGAAACAAAACCACATGTATATGCCAGATAATAGGAAAGCCTGTTTTAATAAACTCAGAAAAATGATAGGGAGGGTCCCATGGCAGGAAATCCTAGGAGGAAAAGGAATTCAAGATGGGTGGGAGTTTCTAAAAAGGGACATTCTAAAGGCACAACTACAAACAATTGCAACAACAACAAGCTGGAAGGCAGCAAAAAGACCAATGTGGATTCATAAAAATCTCAGAGAAGACCTGAAAACAAAACAAAAAAGGCCACATACAGGAAGCAGAAGGAAGGCTGGGCTACAAAGGAAGAGTACAGCTAAGTATTAAAGAATTGCAGGGATGGCATTAGGAAAAGCTCAGGTTAGCAAGAGATGCTAAAATAACAAAAAAGTGGTCTTCAAGTAGGTCCATAGCAAAAGAAAGAGAAAAGAAACAGTGACTCATCTACTCAATGGGGATGGGAAAATGATAACAGATGATAAGGAGAAGGCAGAAGTGCTCAGTTCCTACTTTCCCTTGGTCTTTTCCCTCCAGGCAAATGTGAAGTACAAAGGGAAGGGATAGGGTTGCAGCTTGAGAATAATAAACAAATAGTCAAGGACTACCTTACTGCTTTGAATGAGTTCAAATCCCCAGGGTCAGATGAATTGCATCCAAGGATATTGAAGAAACTAGCTGAAGAAATATTAGAACCACTATCTATTATTTTTATGACATCATGGAGGATGGGTGAAATGGCTGATGATTGGAAGAGGGCTAACATTGTCCCTATCTTCAAAATGGGCAAAAAGGAGGAACTGGGGAACTACAGACTGGTCAACCTTACATCGATCCCAGGAAAAATTCAGGAGCAGATTGTAAAACGACTGATTATAAAGTCAGCCTGCAAACATCTTGAAAATTGTGCAGTAATAACTAGAAGCCAATACAGATTTGTCAAGAACAAATCCAGACTGATAGGCAGGCAGGCAGCCAGACCCAGACAAACAGACCCCTTAGGTTGCTCAGGTGGGGCTGAGGCTGGGGAAATGTTCCCCATTTAGTGCTTTGCTTTGCCAAGGAATCAATCATAAATTAAAGATCAGATAATTACTTATATTAAGAGGTGTTCAGATTAAAACGTCTAGTACAGGTTGCATATTTGAATATAGATAGAGTGGTGAGACCCTTATCTTTTCAGCTCATCCCTACCTTCTCTTTTATGTCACACAATGCAGCACAGCCTTCCATTCATCCTTGTTTTGCACTGAAGCTATTGTAACCTCTGAGTTTACCACTTGTGTGGCTGTTTGAGTTTTGTTATCAAAGAAGTTGAAGATGGATCCATACAAAACTTAGGACTGATTGGATCTGATAGGATTTAAAAACATTTCTGTACTGCCTTTCATTTTAAAAACCCAAAGTGAATTACCGTGGTGCCTCGACTTACAACCATAATCCGTTCCAGAAGATGGGCGTAACTCGAAGTGGCCATACGTTGAAGCACCATTTCCCATAGGAATGCATTGGAATCCATTTGAGAAGGAAAAAAATGCCAAAAAACCCCCACTGCAAGCCCCATAGAAATGCACTGGGGCTGAAAAAAACACACCAAAAAAACCATGATGGGGCCTGGAAAAACAACACAAAAACAACTCCCCCCCACAGCTAGCCCCATGGGAACGTGATGGGGCTGGGAAAAACAACACACCAAAACACAAAAAACAAAACAGCACAAAAGCATAACCCCTCCCCAAACCCAAACCCACCCTGCAAAACAAAGTAAATGTACTTACTCAGGAGCAGAAAGCATCTCCAGGCAGTCCAAAGCCTCCTCTGACGCACTCACTCTAGCATTGGGGTGAAAGAGCTACAAAGAAGCAGCCTCTTTGCCTACCAACGGTTATCAAATTTGAATTTCCCGCCTTTTTGCCCTGCCTTTTTCCAGTTGCAACTCTTTATTTATTTATTTATTTATTTATTTATTTATTTATTTATTTATTTATTTATTTATTTATTTATTTATTTATTTATTTAACTTATACGCCACCCACACTACCTGAAGGTCTCTGGGCGTTATGTTGGGACATTCATAAGTCGAGGCACCACTGTATGAGTGTAACAGTTGGACGTGAACTTAGCTATCCAGACTGACATGCTGCCAAGGAAGCAATGGTGCCATTGCTTTCTTGCCTTGACATTGACTCTTCCCCACAGCAAAAGTATTGCCTCCCATCATTTGGATCTGGCCATCCAGAAAGACTCTCTTTTTTGGGGGGTGGGTGGGGGTGGTCTGGAGCCGTTATTTGTTCATATAATCAGCAGAGCTTTTAATGAAAGTAGCAGAACAGTTGAAATCACCACACCACATCTGAACTTTGGCTTAGTCTGTTTTATTGTAACATAATCTGATTCTGTTTCATTGGGAAGATGCCCCAACTTCCCAACCTATTATCTCAGTTCAGCTACTCTAGAAACACTTTGGATATCTTTGGAATTATTGTTGTCTATTACAAAATGGCTGTGAGGCCAATAAGCCCCTTTTGGCCTAATTGTGCCACCCAAGAGAGAGAGAGAGAGAGAGAGAAAGAGAGAGAGAGAGCTATTTGTTCAGAAAGGAGAGCTGTAAAAGAGAGAAAGAAAATGGGAGGGGTGGGCAAAGTGCAGGTCAAGCACCCTTTCCAGCCCTAAAGCCAGTGTCACACAGAGTCCCTTGCTGCTTAATTGGCTCCCCAGAGTTTTTAAAATCATAACAAGGTGTTTTCTTGTTCCTGGAGGCCTTGAGAAGTGATTCTTTTTTTAAAAAAATATTCCAAAGAGGGGCATAATCCAGGCCTTCAATTCCCTCCCAAATCAAAATTGGAAATGAATGTCAGTTCACTTAGATTCCTCTCACACATATTTCCAGGCCTACTGCACATCCTTGAGGTGTAATTTGGGTTTCATCCCAACCACTGATGGAGAGAATGAGATGAAGTTTAGAAGATTTAATTTAAAAAAAAACTCTGATTTAGGAATGTGAGATATTGTGCTTCTGGGTCAAAATGTCAGGAAATGGTCCAATGGAGCTGCACAATATTGTGCCTGCATTGCCAACAGGAGAAAAGAGTTCAAGCTTCAACTAGCAAACGAATGTTGACACCAATGGCAGCAGTCAAGATGGTCTACAGGGAACCCTCTTGTACTCACAATAATTCACAAAGTGACACCAAGCAAGGGAAAATCCCAGAAGCTGAGTACTTTTTTCATCAGTTAACAACTTCTCACCCAAACACACTTGTTTTTTAACATGTATGAATGGTAGTGAACACAAGAGAGAATTTGGGGCTGATCTGATGTCCAGTTTCAAAGTTACATTTTTTTCTTTGGGCAGCTCCTATTTTAGAATTGTAGAATGTTGATTTGCTCTATTACACAATAACACAGTGCAGCTATAATAAGGTGTTTGTGGCAAATCAAGCAAGTATTTTGAGACTTCTACTTTGTTAAATAACCTATTTACTACTGGATGACCCTATGTCTGGGACTGGAACTGGATGGATTGTTCTGACAACTGCTCACTAAATCTTTGCTGTCAGTCCAGAATCTGATGAATCACTGAGCAGCCCTCCATTTCTTCCAGCCTAGTCTTGTGAATCTGCATTTTTAATTGCTGCTTCCTATTGTGCTCCCTTCTCCTTATCCAAAACGTAGAGAAGCTAAAGGTTCCCTAGCTGAGAGATGATGTTACTTGGTTTTAGTGCTGCAATTGTGGCAGTATTGTTTTGCACCCTGACAGGATGACTATCTTATGGATGCAAAATGTCTCAGTATCTGTATACATCTGTGCTCAGGAGCCAGAAGCTTAGGTGATGAAGATCAGAGCTGGGAAAGGCTTCTCTCTTTTTGGACTACAACTCACAGAGTCCCCCTGCCAGCATCTCCACTGTCCATGCTGGCTGGGGGATTTTGGGAGCTGTACTCTTAATGGAAAAGAAAAGAAACTTCTGCCAAGGAAAGCCAGTGATGGGCTATAACATCCTGTGGCTTCAACAACTGTTTTTCTGCCTTGGGGATTCAATACTGTAGTTACAAGATCTGAGAAGGAGGAGAGATCTTGTGAAGATCCATCATAGTATTGTTATTAATAATAATGTGCTGTCAAGTCAGTTCTGACTTATGGCAACCATTTTCAGGGTTTTCCAGACAAAGAACAATCAGAAGTGGTTTAGCATTCCCTTCTTTTGGGACTGGGCAGCTTGCCCAAGTTCTACTTGTAGGAGGTACAGTGGGGAATCAATCTCTCAATCTCTGGCTCCACAGCCAGATACCTAAGCCACTGAGTTATTCAGCCAGCTGCCATAGTATTACCGACTAGATTATAGTGATGTTCTTTGGCATAGTATCACAGGCCATGAACACTCTTTTATGAAGTCCATGTTAACTGCCTACATCACTTTCACATGGGGTTGACCAATCATGGCTCCCCAAAGCAGCTATCTGATGGGAGTAGCTCCTTCTTTTGAAAGCTCTGGATCATAAAGGAGGAGTCTGCCATTGCAACTGATCTCTATGCCAGTGTTGCGACTATTTCTGGAAGGGATAATGTTGGCTTAGGAAGAAGAGGTGCCATGTTCTATGTGGCCTAGGGTTTCTAAAGTTACCTTGTAGTGTGGAAGAAACTGTGGTCCAATGGTAATATCAAAGGAAATCTCAAGATGGATTCCTCTATGTCATTGCTGATACAAATGCAACGAGGTTTTAAGAGAATCTCAATTTGGCATTGCCCACAGACATCATGACAACCATGCATCTCACTATTAATCACTTCCTTCACCCAAAATTATACTCAATCAGAGTAAAGGAGCAGTTACATTACTGAAATAAATTGGGTGATGGATCAGGGCTTTTGAAGTCAATTTAAAATCATGTGGTAGAAACATGGTTTTTGGATTGGTGTATGCATCCTCTTGGGACAAGTTTTAATCCATTTAAACTGTGCTATACATCAGTCAAGGGGGCTACATGGGCTTTTAAAATTGTTGCATTTGAAGCTTTATCCTGTGCTCACCCTCCCTCATGCTGGCATACATGCTTGATTGTGTGGGGTTTGTCAAGTAATGAATGCCTAGGTTCAGGTTGCAGAGAAACTTTGCAGTTCAATCGAGTGCCACAAACTCATTGCATTTGAGGCTTTTACCTGTGCCCGCTCTTGAGTTGACTGTCTCTCACAGCCATTCACTGCTGCCACTGGCAGTGTTATTTTTAATATATACCATATTTGCCGGCATACAAGACAATTTTTTATGGCCCCCAAAACATGCCTCCAAGTGGGGGGGTCGTCTTGTACGCTGGGTGCACTTCGATTGGGCCAGGAAGGAGCTGCTGCTGCCACCACCGTTGAGTGAGTGACGCGGGGCCGTGCCGGCCGGAGAGGAAGGCAGGCGGGCAGGCAGGTGGTCGGTCCGGATGGAGGGAGGGAAGGAGAGCCGGCCATGCCTGAGTAGCCAGAACCCGTCGCCTCGTGCCGCTGAGCCAGCTCGCCCATTCGCCCGCACGCCACCAGAGAGCTGCTTCTCCTTCCCCTCCTCCTCCTCCGCTGCCTGCCCGCTTGCTTCCCTTTCCTTCTCGCCTTCCTCGTCGCCGGCCATGAACTTCCAGGGTGGGCCTGGGCAGAGCCTCGGGCAGCCGGCGCCGGCGCCACAACAGAGCTGTCCACTCTATATTTTGAGTGGAAATGTTGGGGGGTCGTCTAATACGCCCAGTCGCCTTGTACGCCGGCAAATACGGTATATTTTTTTATTTCTTTCGAATTGGGATAGCATTAGTTCAGTATTACAGATAGGAAAAAAATATCAGATCAGATTGGAAGGTTTTCCTACATCCCAAAACCAGTGATCCTGGTGTCCATTACTTGACAAACCCAACAGACATAATTTACACAGGCAAGCACATATTCCAGAACAATTAAAAATAAATCATATTCACAATTGAGTTAAAATACACAACTTCTGAGGCTGTTTAAAATACCTCACTTTCTAAACAAAAAACCATGCTTCTTAGCCAAATCAATACACACTCAGGTGCATGTTGTGTAAACAGATATTTTACTTTGATTTCTAGCATGATAAATCCAACACAAACCTAGGAGTCCTTTAACATGCAACCGTACCCTAAGATGAGGAGAATAGCTTGGCACAGACTACCCCAACTAGACCTAGCAACTTCATCCCATAGGCATTTTGCCTAGTTAGCACTTCTTATCTTTCAAATTTGGTTCCATGACCTTTAATCAGAGATTTAAGAAGCCTCCC